TGTGTGTGTGTGTGTGTGTGTGTGTGTGTGTGTGTGTGTGTGTGTGTTTTGAAACAGATGGCATTGCAGAGAATAAGGATTTTGAGGTCACTTTAATGTGAGGAAGCAGTGGCCAATAAGAAAAACGCATTTATAGGTGAGAACAGTTGAGTGCGGGATAGATTGTGGGCGGTGTGTTCTCACCAAGTTGGAAATCAACAATGAGTTGAGAGATTGGAAGCCGGGATGTGTTTCCAAAATGCCCTGATGGAATGCCAAAGCAGCTTTTCTTTGTTCTTTTACTGTGAGAAACATTCTCCTCATAACAGCCTATTTTATAAACATACATTTGCTTGGCATGTCCTTTCAGTTTAAATGTGGAATCTCTTTGTATTTGCAAGGTTAGCCTTTCCAAGCAGGGCCTCTCGATTGAGCATGTTAATCCAAGGGTACAGCAGCTCGATGTGGTTGGAGCTGTCATGCTTTGAACACTGCTGAGTCATGAAGTGTAGTGTGACCTTTTCTCTGATAGATCACCGCTGACAACTCACACTCCTGTCACACTGTCTTGCTGAAAGGAATTTACTAGCTGCTTCATTCAGGGGCCAGTGACAAGGGCAGTCACCAAACCTGTCTGAATGGGCCTGGATTTCCGGGTCACTTTCAAGAGTATTTTCAACCAAGTCACCTTTGGTAGAGTGCTTAGCTTTGATAACACAGCGTGTAATGTCAGCGTGGAGTTGTCAGTCTGCTGTAAATACCAGGACATGAAACGGAATGAGTCCGTGGAGCTTTACATTCAGTGTATGTCAGGGTTCTGCAAAAGTACAAGCTCTTAATGAAACTCATAAGATCTCTCTGGATCAGCATACCACTGTGACCCAATTCCTCAATTACTACACAATTACATCTGATATAATTGAAAGAAATTCTGTCGAGGAGAGCTAGGGTTGGGCTCCAGTTAATCCTGAACTCATTAAAATGGAGAGCAGTAACAACATAAATATCTTTGTAATAAAAGGGGGAGAAATAACATTAAACTTGTCGCAGTGGCGAGGAAGGGGTTGAATCACACAACATAATGGTGGGGTGAAATACTGCTGCGATTGCCCAAGGCAGCTCTCTCAACAATCTGTGGACATGTGAGCTCTACCACCCACAAGGACGAGGATAGCAGGGGCATGGAAACACTGCCAGTCGAGAATTTATCCTCCCCTGTACCACCGCCCATGCCCTCACTCCCCAACTAAGTCTCCTACCATCCTGACTTGGAATTACATCACTGTTCCTCATTATCAGTGGATCAAAATCCTGGAATTCTCTCCTTAACAACACTGTAGATGTATCTATATCAGCTGGACTGCAGAAATTCACCACTATATTTTCAAGATGGTGGTGTATTGGTAATGTCTCTGGCCTAGTAGTCCCAAACCCAGGCTAATGTTCTGGGGACATGGATTCAGATCCTGTAGTGGCAGATGAAATTTGAATTCAGTAAAATTTAGAGTCAAAACATATCGCAGTGATGACCATGTAACCATAAAAAACCCACTTTGTTTTCTAATGCCCTTTAGAGAGGGAAATCTGCTGTCCTAACCTGGTCTGGCCTACATGTGACTCCAGACCCACAGCAATGTGCTCGGCTCTTAATTGCCCTCAGAACTGTCCTATAAGTCCAAGAGAAGCTAGCCCGGAAAGCCAGCTAGCCTTGCTTGTGATGCCCATATCTCATGCAAGAATAAAAAAATTAGGGATGGCTAATAGATACTAACCTCTCCAATTCCTGTAAATAAAGAAAGAAAGAATTCAGATGATCTACAGCACCAGCAAATTGGACCATATTAGAGATAAAATACAACAGGTCATCTTTACAAGGTGACCTGTTTTTCCAAAAAATGCTGTTTTTTTCTCCATCATGCACAGCAGATAAATGGAACAAAAACATCTGCTGTGACATTTATTTTGGGTCTGATTGGCTGGACATATCAGCATAAGTCCTTTCCAGCCTCATCCTGTAAAGCCTAACATGTAAAAAAAACTGCTAAAATCCTGAGTTTTGGCTCCACAGATGTAAACAGGTTTCCCTCAGGCAGTTCACTCGTCCAGGCACCTTATGTGGTTTGATTTTTCTTGCATGGGAGCAGGGCAGCCAAGATCAATCAAATTGCTGAATAAAACGTCATGACATTTCATGATTTTGGTTTTACTGCATCTTCACAAACTGAACTGTGTGTCTTCTGTCACTGTCTTAAAGAATGCTCCCAGAAGTGAAGGTTTTTTTTTGTTTTTGTTGTTGCACTATGTCTTTCAATAATTAATCCTGTGTCTGTCATGAAAGGAAAGACAGTTGCATTTTGTTATGGTTGACAACAACTGTAAGCACAGCCAACATGCCAGAGCAGACTGCTGGCTTGCAAATTCAATCATGTCGAGTGATTCACCTCGCTAGTCTGAATCAGACTGAATTAATTGAGATGAGACATGCATGTGTCTCATAGCACAATGTGAAACAGGCAATTATCGCTTTCGCTGTGACCTGGCCAACATTCCACCCTCAGCTGATATTACCCAACAGCAGGCAGTATAAACATCTGCCTTATTGCTCAAAACGGGTCATTGCTATTGAAAATTGATTGCCACACTCCGCTATATCCCAGCAATCCCTGCATTTCAAGAACAATTAGCTGCAGAAAGTGTAGAGATATATTTCGAAGTGAAAAGCACAATGGGCAAATTAAGATTTACAGGTAGAATATACAGGCATGCTGTGGGTTTAGGGTCGGGTATGGGGATGAACAGTTCTCCATGTGCATGTCCATGTGCATCTCCACGGGCAGCACGGTGGCTCAGTGGTTAGCACTGCTGCCACACTGTGCCAGAAACCTGGGTTTGATTCCAGCCTCAGGTGACTGTCTGTGTGGAGTCTGCACATTCTCCCTGTGTCTGTGTGGGTTTCCTCCAGGTGCTCCGGTTTCCTCCCACAGTCCAAAGATGTGCAAGCTGGGTGGATTGGCCATTCTAAATTGCACGTAGTGTGCAGGGATGTGTAGATTAGGTGGCTTAGAGGGGTATAGGTCTGAGTGGGATGCTCCAAGGGTCAGTGTGGACTTGTTGGGCCGAAGGGCCTGTTTCCACACTGTAGGGATTCTATGAACATCTATGAACAATTATAGGGGGACAGGTCTGGGTGGGATGCTCTGAGGGTTGGTATAGACTTGTTGGGCCAAGGGGCCTGTTTCCACACTGTAGGGATTATATTGAAAAAAGGTGTTGGTTACGTTACCAATCCTGGTCTTATTCCTGTAGGTTTCTCACATGATCTAGCATCTCTAATGACCTCATTCAACCTGAAAACTCTCTCTCCTCTGCTTATTTACAGTACCACTGTTGGCCCCATGTTGCGTCAGCATGTGAGGTCATTACATAGTATCAGCTGCTCATCATGACGAATGTTGCTACCTGATTTAATATAGGAAACTGCTTCATCGAGTGTGATAGTGTCTGGTCTAACTAGAAGAGTCATTTGGAGTTGACAAAATGTAATTTATTACATATTAATAAATATCTACATGTTCTATTAAAATGATAGACATTTGAAATTTTAACGAGGACCATGTTAGGCCTCACATTTTCCAGGTCCTAATCTGTTCTGCTCACAAGTCCATATTACATCATCACAATGAATCGTGCTTATGACTGTGCTCCGCATTAATCCTTTCAGAATCACATATAATATTGTCCACTTCTGTATTCGTTGTAACACCAAGACACAAATACTGCTCAAAGAAAATGGGAACATCAACATCATTTTTTTTACGCATTCCTCTGGTTTGATTCCTGGTTTTGACCACAGCAGTCTCCTGGAAATTCATCCCCCATTCCTGGAGACCCAACATTTGGTGACAATGAACTTTGTTCGCCATGAGCACATATTGGGAAAGTACCCACTGATGCTTGCAGAGTTATTTCTTATGATTATCTCCTAAAACTTACCTTTTTTATAAAAAAAAGTACGCTTGGTACTACCCACTGGTCATTTTCCAGTGATTATTTATGTTTGACCTACAGTCCTGATGACTCTACTTTGGGAATATGATGTTGTGAAATAACAAACACAAAATTCTGCAGATTCTGGAGATCTGAAATAAAATCAAAAGTACTGGAGAAACCCAACAGGTCTGGCAGCAATTATGGAGAGACAAGCAGAATTAACGTTTCAACTTCAATCTGACTCTTCTTCAGAATTGTCAAAGCTATATTGATTCTGGAATTGAGAGGGTTTGGAATTCCCTGCCCAGTGAAGCAGTTGAGGTTATCTCGTTGAGTACTTTTTAAGGCAAATATAGATTGATTTTAGAAAGGTAAAGGAGCTAAGGGTTATGGCGAGTGGGCAGATAAGTGGAGCTAAGGCAAAGATCAGCCATGATCTTTTTGAATAGTGGAGCAGACTTGATGGGCCAGATGGCTTACTAC